TTTTAAAACAGTGCTTCTGTGCTTATGGCTCCCAAATTTGTATTTCTAAATCTGACTTCTTCCCCATATACTAGACTCATATCCAACTATCTAATCAATATCTCTGCTTTAGTACAAATTTATTCCCCCTCCCCAAACTGTTCTGATTCTAGGGGTTTTTTTTTTATAGTTACATATGGATTTTAGAATCATCTTGTTATTTTCTACAAAGCTGCTTGGAATATGATAGATATAGCATTTAATCTATGTAACAATTTGGGTAGAACTGATAACCATATTGAGCATTATGATCTACAAATGATGTATATGTCTCCACTAATTTAGATATTCTTTAATTTCGCTCAGCAATGTTTACTAGTTTTCAGTCTATGGTGCTTTCACATACTTTTTCAGATTTATTCCTAAGTAGTTCACATTTTTGATGTTATTATAATTGATAAATTTTTGATTTCCAATTGTTAATTGCTAGGATGCAGAAATACAATAGAATATTGTATATTAATTCTGTATCCTGAAAACTTACTAACCTTACTTATTAATTCTGGGGTCTTTTTTTACAGTTGGCCTTCCGTATTCACAGGTTCCACATTCATGGATTCAACCAATTGTGGACTGAAAATATGTGAGAAAAAACAATATGACAATAAAAAACACAACAAAAATTTAAAAGTACAGTATAACGACTATATAGTTTTCTGTAACAGAAGGTTTTGCTTTTTTTGTTTTTTTGTTTTTTTTTTTACTAAGGATTACTATGGAAACTTTTTTGTTAGGTACAAAATACTACAGTCTCACAGTGAGGTTGGCAATAATTAAAACTTCTTTTTGGCCAGGCACAGTGGCTCACGTCTGTAATCCCAGCACTTTGGGTGGCTGAGGCAGGAGGATCACGAGGTCAGATAGAGACCATCCTGGCTAACATGGTGAAACCCCGTCTCTACTAAAAATACCAAAAATTAGCCGGGCGTGGTGACGGGCACCTGTAGTACCAGCTACTCAGGAGGCTGAGGCAGGAGAATGGCATGAACCCGGGAGGCGGAGCTTGCAGTGAGCTGAGATGGCGCCACTGCACCCCAGCCTGGGTGACAGAGTGAGACTCCACCTCAAAAAAACAAACAAAAACAAAACAAAACAACAAACAAAACAAAACAAAAAAACCTTTTTTTCAGTCCTACTACTGCTAAACCATGTTTCCCTCGGGCTGTATTTCTGCAATTGGTTTCAAAAACTCAGGAAACAGTTCAAAAGAACTACATATAACCACTAAATAATATAACTAATGAATGTGAAAAAAGATACTGGAATAGCTTTTTAGGGAGGATAATTTTTTTTTTTTTTTTTAAGACAAAGTCTCACTCTGTCACCCAGGCTGAAGTGCAGTGGTGCGACCTGGGCTCACTACAGCCTCTGCCTCCAGGGTTCAAGTGATTCTTGCGCCTCAGCCCCCCAAGTAGTTGGGCTACAGGCGTGCGCCGCCACCATGCCCAGCTAATTTTTTTATTTTTAGTAAAGACGGGGCTTCATCATCTTGGTCAGACTGGTCTCAAACTCCTGACCTCAAGTGATCCGCCTGCTTTGGCCTTCCAAAGTGCTGGGATTACAGGTTTGAGCCACTGAATCCAGCCATTTTTTTTTTTTTAAGACAGAGTCTCACTCCATCACCCAGGCTGGCGTGCAGTGGCATGATCTCAGCTTACTGAAACCTCTGACTCACGGGTTCAAGTGATTCTTGTGCCTCAGCCTCCCGAGTAGCTGGGATTAAGGCATGCACCACCCCTCCCGGCTAATTTTGGTATTTTTAGTAGAGATGGGCTTTCACCATGTTGGCCAGGCTGGCTTCAAACTCATGACCTGAGGTGATCCACCCCCCATCCACCTCCCAAAGAGCTGGGCTTATAGGCATGAGCCACTGCGCCTGGCCAGCGAAGATAAATTTTTAAAAAGTCAACTTAAACCAATAAAAAACAGCTTTTTACTAAGGATCTAAGTTTATAAACTATTTTAAGTAGTTCGATTTACAGAAAAAGAAGCTATCAATGGAGAAAAGTGACTTGTGACTCATTACCTACAGTAACCTTTCTAGGCTTTCCATTGGACCTCTGCATTATATGACAAGTATACAAATTAAGTATGATATAAATTAGGGATGTATTTTTTTCTAAATTAATATACTCATGGTCAATGAACCAATCACAACATGCAAGTTTTGATAACATGAAATACTAGATCCTTTCTGCACATAAAATTTTAAAAATTTAGTTCTGTAACACCAACTGTTCGTTAGAAAAATAAATTTTTAAATTTTAAGTAAGATTTTTGATTTAATAACAGAGTTCCACAAAAGTAAACTTACTATGAAACACAGATTATTAAAAAGAAAATGTAACAGTCATATATCCCAGGGTAGAAGGCTAATGGAAACAGAAATCAAATGACCATGTGTTATAGCGTAATTTCTCAGGTAATGATTTCAAACAGCAAAAGAACTGAACAGACTCTTTAATTAAACCTGAAACTCTCCAAACAGCATTTTTGGTGGGGTTTTTTTTTGTTTGTTTCTGGGTTTTGAAACTCTTGGGATATTAACTCAATAGGGGTACAGAATATGTGATAGTTGATTGATTTTTAAAGTACCTAAAGAAGATAATTAGGAAGAAAAGCTTTATCTTATGTTACAGGGGACTTTTATTGTTGTTTAAGAAATTGAAGTAAAATTGGGAGGTATAGAAAAGAGGGATATAGAAAGATCGGTTTCTAAAATTATGTTTTAACACAATTAATTATGACACATAAACACAGAAGCAAAACTAGACTTAAAAAGGAAACACAACACTTTCAATTAGAATACTGAATTGCCTGAACTTGAAGGAGTAGTTTAACCTCTCTTTATCTAAGTTTTCTTATCACTGGGAGATGAAACTTACTAAGTGATTAATTTCTTTCTTTTTGATGATCTGATTTCCAGATTTTCTTTTAAAAAGTAAACCTTTATGCATTCACTATCATGCACTTAATACCTAACACCTACAATAGGGACCGTCAGTGGTTGTTGAGGATACAGTGGTAAACCAAAAAGACATATTCTCACAGACTGTAAGAGTCCAGTAGGGATGATGCACTGAATAATCACTACGAAACATATAATTACATATTTGTGATAAATTCCCTAACAGTAACGACATTTGATAATACTAACATAGTGCTTAATATATGCCTAGCATTGTTATCTAAGGGATTTACATATTTTAATTCATTTAATTCTTATCTTATGAATTAGGTACTACTTTTATATTCATTTTAAGATAATTAATAACAGAGGCACATAAAGATTAAGTAACTTGCCCAAGTCTGATTCCAGAATCCCCACTCTTAACATTCCAGAGTCCTAGCTGTTTTTCATATGAAAAACAAAACAAAACAAAACAAAAACTGTTGCGAGAGAAGAAAAAAAGGTTAATTAAACTTATGTTCGGGGAGGGAGGAAATGCCTGATGAAGGAATTCTCATAAGTAAGAGTTAAATAGGCAAAGGGGGAAGAAGAAATGAGGATCTTAGCACGTTCAAGTCTCTGAAGAAGGGCAGAAACTAGCTAAGGAAAGAAGATTATCTAACTAGTACATAGTGATGGACTGACACAAGACTAGGGAGAAAAGGTACATACAAATTAGTTCATTCCTCACCTGACAGACAAGCTGAAGGCACTCTCAATTTGATTTATTTTGACTCATGCTACTTCAAAAAATAATCTACTGGTTACTCCCACACATATCTTAGTTAATAAGCATGGCACACTTAAAAGTTGCTTAGTTTTGAATCCATTTCTCTCTTAAATACATGTAATAAAATATGTATACTCCTTAAAAATATTAACCTGAAATTACAATAACTATGTTTACAGAATTAGTCAGAGCTTTAAGGCCTTGGAAAGAACAATAGTTTTTCACAAATAAAGTATGAAAACAATTGCCTCAGAATAAACTTGAAAGGAAAAATCTAAATGCTAAGTAAAAGGGCAATTGTATATTCTTGGGTGTTTATGAGATGAAAACTATGTTCATGCAAAAACCTGCAAATGAATGTTCACAGTTGCTTTATTTGTGCTATGGCTTGACTGCGTCCCCCAAAGTTCATTTGTTGGAAACTTAATCCCCAATACAACAATGTTGAGAGATGGGACCTTTAAGAGGTGATTAGTTCACAAGGACTCTTTTGCCTTCATAAATGGATTAATGTTGTTGTCTCAGGAGTGAGTTCCTGATAAAAAGAAGAGTTCTGTCCCCTTCTATTTCTCCCCACTAATGTCTTGTGCTCTCTTGCTCCTCCACTTTCCATTATGGGATGAAACAGCAAGAAGGTCCTCCCCAGATGTGGGCCCCTCAACCTTGAACTTGCCAGACTCCAGAATTGTAAGAAATAAATCTCTGTTTTTATAAACTACCCAGTCTCAGATATTCTGTTAGAGCAGCACAAAATGGACTAAGACAATTTCATAATAGCCAAAAGCTGGAAACAAATGTCCTTCAATGCAGAAATGGTTAAACCAACCACAGTAGATCCATACTACGGAATGCTAGAACAATAAAAGGACAAAAATTATTGGTAAAAACATCAACTTGGATGATATAAAGGAAATTACACCAAGTAGAAAAAATACTAATCTCAAAAGCCTACAAACTACATGATTCCATTTTTGTAACATTCTTGAAATAATAACATCATAGAGATGGTGAAAAGATTAGTGGTTGCCAGGGACTGAAAACTCCCAAGTGGGCCAGGCACAGTGGCTCAAGCCTGGAATACCAACTTTGGGAGGCCGAGGTAGATGGATAGCTTGAGCCCAAAAGTTCAAAAACAGTCTGGGCAATATGGCAAAAGCCCATTTCTACAAAAAATACAAAAATTAGTCAAGTGTGGTAGTATGCACCTGTAGTTTCAGCTATTTGGGAGGCTGAGGTGTAAGGATCACTTGAGCCACGGAGGTTGAGGGTGCAGTGAGCTGTGACTGCACCACTGCACTCCAGTCTGGGTGACAGAGCAAGACCCTGTGAAAAAACAAAAACAAAAAAACAAGAGTGCAGGTGTAGTTATGAAGAGATAGCACCCAAAGTAGTGCTTACAGTGATAGAATAGTAAGTTGAGTGTGGTACTGTTACACATAACTACATGTACACACAACTGTACACACACACCCCTGCCGTACACGCACACAACAGTACATATCCACCTGGTTAAATCTGAACAAGTTCCTGGATTGTATCAACGTCAGTTTCCTGGTTTTGAAACTGTAATATAGTTATATAAAATTTTATTATTGTGAGAAGCTGGGTGACGACTTCCTTGTACATTTTTCCCCAACTTCCTATGGATCTACATTATTTCAAAATTTAAAAATTTAAAAAACAGTAATACTCTGTGCATTCTGGACAGTACATAGTTCATTAGTATAGATTTTTTTATCACTTAACAAAGTTTAATGTTCAGATTAGTTGATTTAGAAACTTTGCAGAACAATTTTCTTTGGGTTTTAAATGTTTTCACATTTTTCGGTGGAAGAGATAACTTTTACTTTTGATATAATTTCAAACTTAAAAAATTACACAGTCAAGAAACTACCATAATCTTTAACCAGATTCACCAATTGTTTACATTTTGCTCCATCTGCTTAAACAATCACAAACTCTTTCCTCCTGTTTCCCTTCCTCACTCGTGGTGTGGTGGTGGTGTTCAGGCGTGTGCGTGCGTGCGTGCGTGTGTGCGTGTGTGTGTGTGGTGTGTCTCCCTTGAACCATTTAAGAGGTGACAACATCAAAGTTCATTCCCCTAAATACTTCAATACGTACTGGCCTAAAACTACAGTCTCTCAACCTTTCTCCTGGAACCAGTGGGCCAGGCTGGACATGGTCTTTTGGAGATGATAGAGGCACAAAAATATGAGCCCAATCCTGCCAGTGCTACTCAAGCCTTTGGACATGACATGCCCACTAATACCAAAGTGAGTCCTATGACCAAATCCAAAGCAGGGGGCAAGGAAATATAATCTGCCCCTTTAGGAGTAGGTGGTAAATGGTATAGTCACATGGCAAAGAACTGGTGCTATTAATGCAATCTATTACACCCGCTGAACCCAAGGTTTTCAGGGATGGGAGCTGGTATTTAATAAGTGCTTCAGGTAATTTTGATGCATACATATGACTAAAAATAAACAGGGGAAAGATTCCGGGCAAAGGATACATTTTGATATCGAAAATAAATAAAAATGGCACACAGAAACAGACATTGTTCTCCAAACTCCAAGAGTTGGTCCTAAAATAAGGCTTTAGTCTCCTTGTTAGCAACGAAAAGAAGAAAGTATTATGTATGTAAAATAAAAGCGAATTAGTAGTTGTTCCAAAGTACAGCTTTTCCAAGATGCAGAAATCAGAGAGTAACTTCACTAGTAAGTCCTCAGTAAGACGCTGGATGACATAATGGAGAAGGTCCTTAATAGTGTTCCTAAAAAAATTAAAGATCTGTTTTAGGTGACTTCTCCTTTTCCTCTCTTTTCTTGGGGGGCGGGGGAAATCATATCCTAAAAGTACAATCCAGTAAACGCAAAGTTAACAGGAGGTCAAAATCATGCAATCCATGCACACAGATCTCCAATGGTATGGTTTAACTTAAAAGTAAAATTTGAAATATTCACAGGAATGCAGAGAATGCCAACCTTTAGTCAGTGCTCCATTAATACATTTCTCAAAACTGAGTGTTAGAAAAATTTAGAATGTCAAGAGTATATGGCTGAATATCATTAAGAGCAGAAGTACATGTTTTATCAATTAAGGCAAGGAACAAATGAGAAGGTGATTTTATGAAGTTTAAGAAGCTTACCCAAAATACATTCCACTTCTAGACAGAAGCCTCAGGCAGGTTAGAATTGTTTTTAAAATAAGTCTGACTTTGCTCTAATACATAAATGAATGAGAGGATCACGATTCCAAATTTACAAACCAGTGCTACTAACTATAGATAAATGCTATCTATAGTTTCCGGAGCTGAAAGCCAAAAAATTGATAAAACTTCTGGGCAATATTTTATAATGCCTGTTTAATATACCACAAATTCTCCTTTATAGAAAGAAAAGGCTATATGTGAACAAATTGATTAGCCTCCCTAATTGTAGGCAACACATAGCCTATATTATGAGGTACAGAGGGGAAAAAAGGAAATTAAATCTACTATGTGCCAGGCACTGTGCTAGTTGTTTTAGTTTTTTTCCCCCATTTAATCTTCAATATAATCCAATGAATAAGTCTTGTTACCACCATTTTAAAGATAAGAACTCTGGGCAGTTCGCTTGTTTTTGTCCCATTATTAAGATGAGGTTAATCAGACTTACTTGTTAGGTTAAGATAAACTTGACAGTAATCATAAAATGGTTATCCACAAGGAAGATAAAATGGTGAGAATTCTGGGCATATCCTCCTAATAGTAACTTTGACCTCGGAGACACACACAGTTATGTGTCACATAATGACAGGGACAAACATTCTGAGAAATGTACCATTAGGCAATTTCATCACTGTGCAAACATGATAGAATGTACCTACACACACCTAGATGGTATAGCCTACTACACACCTATTGCTACTGGTATAGCCTATTGTTCCTAGGCTACAAACCTAAACAGCATGTTACTGTACTGTATACGTAGCCATTTATAACACAATAGTAAGTATTTGTGTATCTAAACATAGAAAAGGTACAGTAAAAAATACGGTATTAAAATCCTATAGGACCTCAGTCATTATGGTCTGTTGTTGACCAAATGTCATCATATGGTACATGACTGTGTATGTTACCTATACTCAAAAATCAATATTATTGATTAGTGGATGAAAAAGCAAATCCTAAAACTCAACACAAACAGCAACAAACAAACTCAACTATAGATGAAATAATACCCTAATCACACACAAAAATTTTTCAAGTAACTGCGATGACAGTACTATAACTATACAATTACTGAGTAGTTTATTGAAATATAAAACCCACAACCCCCCTGCAAATAAGTCCACTGGGAGCCCATAAATGTCACCTTATTTGGAAAAAGGGTCTTTGCCAATGTAATAAAGGATCTCAAGATGAGATCATCTTGGATTTAGGGTGGTCCCTAAATCTAATGACACACACCCGTATATAAGATAGAAGAAAGAGACAGATATACTAAGGGAGCCACATGAGGATAGAGTCAGAGACCGGGGTTTTATGTAGCCACAAGATAAAGAATCCCTGGAGCCACTACAATAGCTGGAAGAGGTAAGGAAGGACTCTTTCCTAGAGCCTTTGGAAGGTGAATCGGCACACTGACATTTTGGTTTGGCCTTCTGGCCCCTTGAACTGTGAGACAATAAATCTCTGTTGTTTTAAGCCACCAGCTTTATGGTATTATAAGTTGTTATAGCAGCCCTAGGAAACGAATATACTGGAATATATCCTAAGAACAAAAAGAACTGAAAAGAAACCTTGGATATTGTGTGTTCTGTGTTGGCACTGGGATTGATACAGCAATTCTAATACAATATGGTACCTTAGAAGCAAAATGAAGAGAGCCCCCAATACCAGAGGAGTCATCAACTAGTCACTGAATACTAAAGTCTGAGAACTGACCACTAGACTTGATGCAAGTTACTGGTGACTTAGAGAAGATCCATTTTGAAAATGGTGGGACAGAAGAGCAGAAACCTGTTTAGGGTAGGTTTAACAAAGAATGGGAGGACAAATGTGATGTCAGGTACTTGTGAAAGCTTTTCTGATTGCCTTGATGAGGAAGAGATGCTGGAGGTTTTCAGGAGAGGAAAAAGAATGAAACAATCATCTAGGAGAGTGAACGGCTCAAAGAAGTGTGGTACAGTTGCTGGGTAACATTAAGAGCCCACTGCCTTTAAAGTGAGACCAGTCATTATGTTTTTTGAATTCTTCTCCAGTACCACTTAGCTGCAAGGGTGAGATTTAACCAAAGCTGTGGTTTTGCCAAAACAGAGAGGAGCGAAGGAACTGAAGGTACTTGTATGCAAGGGAATGATTAAATGACCTTTGAATTTAAGCTATAAGGAGGAAAAGAGGGACACTGAAGAGAAGAAAAACAGTATTGCAACATTCAACGCAGGTGGTGAGTGAGTCCTATCCTGCAACTCATTCTTTGGTTTCTGTGACTCAATCTTCTTTCTTGTACCTTAGATTGACTCTACTGACTCCACTTTCTCTAATGGTTCATTATCTTTGATAACTTCTTAACTCTAGCTACTCAGGTCTACCTATAGCTCTTCAAAAATTGAATTATTTCCATGGCCTCTGAAAGTTCTTTATTGCTTCATTATGTGGGAATTCATTCATGATTCTTTTTTGGCACTACAAATTCTTATAGTACCAATGTGTGAATGTGTCAACATGACAATCATTTCCCCTTAAAATGTTACTGCTCAAATATTTCTAAAATGAAAAATCACTATCTGTAATCTTAGATCTTCTACCATTGCTCCCATTCATTAGTAATCCGAACGGTAAAGTTGACCCGCTGTAAATCAAGGACTGTCTATGTTGCTATTTTATCATTACACCTAGACAAAATCTATCTATCCTCTATTCCTCTATTATTTCACTTACCATCCTTCAAGTTCCAATTCTTCCTGGAAACCATCCTCTACCTACCATTTTACTTCACAATCTTTTCCTTTAATGAATTCCTGTATTAGACCACACAAAGTCAGCATCCAGCCATGCATAATTACATTCTTTCTTTTTTTTTTTTTTTTTTAAAGACAAAATTTTATTGACTTTAAAATCCTGAATTATAAAATTTTCTTTGTTCTTGGACAGGTTCCCATATAATAATAACGCACAGAATACAGATAGTCCCCTACTGACCATGGTTCAACTTACGATTTTTCAGCTTTAAGATGGTGCAAAAGTGATAGCATTCAGGACGTTTCTTGATTTATGATAGGGTTATGTCCCAATCAACCCATTGTAAACTGAAAATACGGTAAGTTGAAATGATGTTTTTAGTTTTCAATGGATTTATTGGGATGCAATCTCATTGTAAGTTGAGGAGCATCTATATAGTAATAATGTATAAGAAAGGCCAGGCTATTTGAAAATCACCTCTTCTTCCTCAGTTGAAAATGCAGAAATCACCGGTCTTTTGTGTCGCTCGCGCTGGGAGTTGGAGACTGGAGCTGTTCCTATTCGGCCATCTTGCTCCGCCCCCTAATTACATTCTTTCTAATCATTTCATTGGCACCTTAAGTACAGAATCTTGTCTAATTAATTTTTTAAAATTAATTTTTGAAATCTCTCCATAATACCTAGCACAATGCTGGTCATATGGTTACCAGGTTGAAATGAAACACAAAACTGCTAGAGAATGTATTAGATGAAAAACACAACGCCTTATACAATCAAACACCAGGTTAAAGAGTATGAAATCAGGATGCCGAGCAAGTTCATGTAGTTAAAATGATGACACCAGGTGGTCATATGCAAACATATATCAAATGATCTTAATACCATGATCTTTACATGTTAAGCTTACATTAGCCACGTCACATCTGTTTTTTATTAGAAAGAGAACCTCATTTTAACAGAGACCTATCAGTTAATTCTAGAAACTGCTCCCTGCAATACTCTTATTAAGAAAAATAAGAGTTGAAGTTTTACATGGACTGAAAGTGTAAAATCCTTGGGAAAATTGAGAATAAAATGCAAAACAGTTCCACAAAAAGCTAGCAACATGAGTAAGTTTTTACTTATATAAATGTGGTATAGTTGATAAAGGAGCAAGGAAGATTAAATAATAAAAGCCAACTGATATCTTACTGCTACCAAATTAAATGGAATTGGGTAATTTTCACTATTGGTGTCTGAAATCATACAGAAAAATCTAATTAACTAATTAGATTTAGTTAATTAAATTAAAAATTAAATTCTTTATCAAAAATTACCATTACATTGACATTAAAAACAAACTTCTTTCACCATGTTATGGATTCTAACTTAAGATCCTTTTTCTTTCCTGAAATCAGATCAAATTTTCATCCATCTAAGACTAAAGTCCAGAAATAAAAAATGTCTCTAGAACTATATCTCATCAGATGTCAGCAAATAATAGATGAGTAAGTTTTGAATAACTGCTATATAAACATATCAAATTAAGTATTATTTCTATAGACACTTTTGACCAAATAGAATCACAGAATTTTAAAGGTAGGAGAAAATTTAGAATTAAGAGTTCAAATTGGAAAAATACCATTCTACTGTGTAATGGGGAAACTGGGAGTTTATTATAAGTAACCATGAAACTCATAACAGAATTCAATATGACACTGCATTTAGCTAGAATTTCACTAAATGCTGACATATGTCAATACTAATGTTAATAATTAATAATGTTAATTAATATAGAATAAATTCTAGCTAAATGTTAATTGATATAGAAAACACACCAGAACTGATACCATAGTTTAGAAATATCATAAAATAGAATTATTAAGTATAAAATTTACTAAGTATAAAAATTAGGATTTTAAAAACAGTACATTTTAAAAAAACAGTATGTTTTTAAAAACTTATCTACTCTAAACTTTATTAAAGGTTTATTAAAGGTTTATTAAAGTAACTTTATTACTACTATACTGGAATAAAAATTTAACTATACAAGTAGATTGTGATAAATTAAGAAGCATATTATAATCCCTATAGTAACCTCCAAGGAAATAACTCTAAAAAGTTGTTTTTAAAAAATCAAGAGAGCTGCATGCAGTAGTGTACAACTGTGTGCTCCAATGTACTCCTATATGCCTGTACTCCCAGCTACTCACAAGGCTGAAGGGAAAGGATCACTTGAGCCAAGAGTTTGAGTCTATAGTATGCTATGATGGCAGTTGTGAACAGCCACTACACTTGAGCCTGGGCAACAGAATGAGACTCTGTTCTTTAAAAAAAAAAAAAAAAAAACAAAAAACAAATCAACAGAAGAATTTAAATAGTACACTAAAAGAATATTTAACACAAAAGGCGGCAGTAAAGGAAGAATGGCAGAAATAAATTCACTCATATCAAAAATCACATTAAATGGGAATAGACTAAATATGACAATCAAAAGCCAAAAAACTATCATATTGGTTCAAATAACAAGATCCAATTATATACTTCTACAAAAGACACTCTTTGATTCAAAGATACAAGTAGATTGAAAGTAAAATAATAGGAAATATACTCCATACAAACAGAAACAATAAAAAAGCTGGAGTGGCTATTAACAGCAGATGAAACAGACTTGAAGATAAATAGTAACAAAGAAAAACAGGGCTATTTCATAATGATAGAGTCAGTACATCAGGAAGATATAGCATTTATACATGTGTTCATACCTAACAACGAAGCTGCCAAATATATGAAGCACAAACCAACAGAACTGAATGATAAATATAACTAGAGAGAAAATTAACAAGGATGTAAAAAACTTTAGCAACACTATCAACCAAAATAACCTAACTTAAGTTTACAGAACACTCAAAGACCACAGAATACTCAATGCCTTCTAAGCACACAAGAACGTTCTCCAAAATTGATCACATGCTGGACCAAGAAATAAATCTCACTAAATTTACAACAAATCATATAAAGGGTGTTCCCTGACAACAAAAGAATAAAATTAAAATCCATAACCGAAAGAAATCTGAGAAAATCAATGGGTCAGAGAAGAAATCATGAGAGAAATTAAATACTTAAAACTGCAGGAAAATGAAAACACAACATATCAAACTTCATAGGATACAGCTAAAGCAGTTTTCTAGGAATATTTACAGCTTGAAATGCCTATATTAGAAAGGTCTCAAATCAGTATCTATTGCTTTCATACCTTAAGAAACTAAAAGTGCAAACAAAATCAAAAACAGGAAGAAGAAAAAAAATAAAGATTAAAGTAAAAATAAACAGAAAACAACAACAACAACAAACAGAGAAATACCAATGAACTCAAAAATTAGTTCTTAAAAAAAAAATCAACAAAATTGACAATCCCTTAAATAGAATGACCAGGAAAGTAAGAGAGAAGAACAGACAAAAATTACCAAAATCAGAAATGAAGGAGGGGAAATCATCACCAATCCTTTAGAAATTAAGAGGGAAGGCCAGGTGCGATGGCTCATGCCTATAATCCCAACACTTTCCAGGCCAAGGCGGGTAGATCATTTGAGTCCAGGAGTTTGAGAGAAATCTGGACAACAAGGAGAAACCTCATCTCTACAGAAAATACAAAAATTAGTCGGGCATGGTGGCACGCACCTGTGGTTTTAGTTACTCAGGAGGGTTAGGTGGGAGGATCACTTGAGCCTAGGAGGCAGAGGCTGCAGTGAGCCAAGATCATACCACTGCACTCCAGCCTGGGTGACAGAGTGAGACTCCTTTTCAAAAAAATAAAAAAAGAAAGAATTAAAAGGGAATATGAACTTTAAGCCAACAAATTACACAACTTATATTTAAAAAAAAAAAAAAAGAAATTCTTCAAAAGACAAATTACCAGAACAGACTCAACAAGAAATAGAAACTCTGAATAGATCCCTAACAAATAAGAAAATTGAACTATTTACTAAAAATCTTCACACTAAGAAAAGCCTAGGCACAGATGATCTTCACCAATGAATGTTATGAAATATGTAAGAAAGAATAGCAAACTTTTATAAACTGTTTTATAAACTAGAGGAGAATATTTCCCAACTGAGTCTGGTATCACCAAAGACAGAGACAATGCAAAAAAAAAAAAACCAAAAAAACAAAAAAACAAAAAAACAACTACAGACCAACATCCCTCATGAACACACATACAAAAATTATTTTTTAAAAACTGGCAAACCAAATTCAGCAACATATAAAAATGACTATACATTAGGACCAAATGGGATTTATCCTGTGAATGCAAGGGTGGTTAACTATCTAAAAATAAATTAAAGTAAAACATCTTATTAATAGAAATAACAACTAAAGCTACATGATCATTTCGAAAGACACGGCAAAACACTTGACAAAATCCAACAACCATTCATTATTTTTTAAAACTCTCAAAAATTAGAAATAAAAAGGCTCTTTTCAACCTAATAAAGAGTGTCAATGACAAGTCTACAGCTAACTTCCCTATCAAGAGAAAAACAAAGATGCCTGTTCTTATTCCTTCCACTGAATATTGTCCTGTAGGTTTTAGTACAGTAAAACACCAAAAAGTAACATATCTTAAAAAGAAAAAAACTTAAAAAGATATTAAATGCATTCAGATTAGACATGAAGAAATGAAACTGCATTATCAGATGACACTGTCTAGTATGTAGAAAATCCTAAGAAGCCACTAACAAACAACTAGAATAATAAAAAAAAAAAGCTCAGCTAGATCACAAGATAGAAACTCAATATACGAAAATCAGTTGTAGTTCTACATTCTAGCAAAAACGCAAAAATGAAATTAAGAAAACAATTCCATTCAAACTAGGACCATGAAGAGTATTTGGGAATAAATTTTTAAAAAGAAGTACAAGATTTGTATTGCACACTGTTATAAGACATTGCTGAGTCAAAAAGATCTTTAACATTCCATGCTCATAAATTAGAAAATTCAAAATTGTTAATATGGTAATCCTCTTCAAATTGATCTATAGATTCAACATAATCTTTTTCAAAATCCCAGCTGTTTTTTTTTTTTCTGTAGAAATAAGCGGATCCTAACTTTATAGGAAAATACAAAGGATCTAGAATAGCCAAAATAATTTGGGGAAGAAAAAAGTTGGAGAACTTATACTACCCAATTTCAAAACTTACTATGAAGCTACAGTAATCAAGATTGTATGGTATTAATGTAAGGACAGGTATACGGATTGATCAACGAAGAGAATTTAGAGTCCAGAAAGAAATCTTTGTATTTATGTTAGATTTCTCACAAAGATGCCCAGAAAATTCAATGGAATAAGAGACAGTCTTGTCAACAAATAATTTTTAGATAACTAGACATCTACATGCAAAATAAAATAAAACAGACTATTATCTTATACCATACACAAAAATTAATTCAAATGGATCAAATACCTAAACGTATGAGCTTAAACTATAAACCATCTAAAGGAAAATATAGGAGAAAACATTTGCGACCTTGGGTCAGGCAGAGTTCTTAGATGACAAAAACAAGGCAGAGTTCTTAGATAACAAAAACATGAGCCATAACAGATAAAATTGATAAACTGGATTTCATTAAAGTTAACAACTTTCATAGTTCAAATGATATCAATAAGAAAATGAAAAGACAAGCCATAGACTGGGAGAAATTATTGCCAAATCACAAATCTGATGAAGCTCTTGTATTCAGAATTTAAATGAACTCTCACTAGTGAACAAGGAGATAATGCAACTTTTAAAA